TGGTAAGCTCAGCCGCGTGGACAACGTCGGCCTACTTGAACGCGGTCGAAAATCAAGTCATTGATCACTAGGCACCCGGTCGCGATTGGACATGGAGTTGAAATTTACTCTTCGTTTTGGGTCACAGCACGAAGTAGTTGCCACATAGATTGAAATTCCTCGAGGCTGTGTTGATTAATTCATTCAGCCCCGTACCGTTCACTCAAGAAGACATCAGAGTTACTTTCAAAATAGCTTGCTTTGATTGGTCAATTGAGTTACAGTTAAGTTCCATACAAACAAGACAACTTACCTCGTACTCTGCTTCATTATATTCTGTTTTACACGTATCACGGCAGACGAAGATCATAGGAAGTGCATTCATCCCTCAACATATTGTTATTCTCACTGCTTTGTTCAAACTTACCTCAAAAGCCTGTTCCAAACCAATAAGCATTATTCACAGGTATTCATGAAGGCGATCAAAGTTAGCTTTGGGTTCGTTTCATAGAGGATTAACAACGGTGAAACATGTTAAAAAGTGAAGGCAAATAGAGCTTGGTGGGTTCCATACTTCCGTTAGGAAGCTCGAATTGTTCCAGCATGTTAAATAAGTCATTCCTGGTGCGTGGTGGAATTGCCGGGCGATAGCGAAAAACAGTCACAAGCAGCAAATTCATTGTCTGGTTTCAAACCGGTGGGTAATCAGTGAAGATGGCGCGTATGCAAGTGTTTGTTTCATTCAGAAGTACTGGTCAGTGGATTGTTTTCAATTTCACTGTGAGGAGTAAATGTTCAAACCAATTCAACCGTGCTCACAAACTGGTCGGGCAGGCTACGGTGTCTCGTACTTTCCTCGACAAATCATATGGACAGATTAGTTTTCGAACGCTACTTCTGATTTTGATCAGGCTTCATTGAAAAAGCGCTGACAACGAAACCACTACAATCACAAACCCACCCGCCACAATTTAGGTTCCATAAATTATCAAGAGGCACACAACAGAGATCGCCACGAAACCGTTGGATGGCTGCCCTCATCCACAACTTGGTCGAGCTAGAATTACTGAGCTTTGTGTAGGGACAAAACATCCTAGACCACTAGCCGAGTGGAAATCGAAAAGTTAGATAGCCAAACGATGCCTTTACCACCTGTGTCGTTGAATAAGCACTGGTGAATAGACGCTAGTAGCAGCTCAAATTAGTTGTAGGTGGTTTGCGTGATTCCGAAAATTCATGTTCACATCCCTCGTTCGAACAGTCCTCCTGTTTTGTCACAATTATTCTGATGCGTCTAAACCAAAGGGTGGGTGACTCACCAAAATAATTGGACTAGGTCGGAAGGAGGACTGTTCAAACGAGAACAATGTGAGTGAGGGTAGCTCAAATTTTGTTTTCTGGCAGTATTCCGACTTTGTTCCTCTTTGAATGGATCCGATGGTGACGTTAAACTGGAATTCCATTCTGAGGTCTCCAGTTCTGTTTTTTGTGTTGTGAACAAGCCAGACGAACTGACTGTATTTTTGTAACAAGAGCTCATTGGTCCTGTGAACTTTGTTCTAACCATTCCTAAATATAGTGTAATACATACCCTCGATCTTCGAGTTGTTTTCGCAACGCCTGATCTGTCACGAAGAGACTGGACCTTTCCGTGGTGTGACGGTTTGCGCACCTCAGCGATCCATTGAGCTATACTGGAGAGTGTCCCGCGACACTCACAGAGTTAGCAATGTTGTGGAATGTAGGTAGCTCGGGTGCGATGTTTGGTTGTTGGTCTGTTCGCCGAGCTTGGCAGTTGGATTGCAAACGTTTCATCACCAATCGAGGTGACATCGTCA